AAATTGAGTACCTTTTTAACAGGGCTATAGCAAAATCACAGGCTCCTGAACTCACATAAGCCTCGTAAACCCCAGTGAGCCAGGCCTCTCCCTAGCTTTCACCTTTCTCTACCTTCCATCCACAGATGTGTCCTTTAAAATCACTCTGCAGCTCAGGAAGAAAATCACAAACTTGAGTATCTTAAAGTTGTATCTGAACAATGAGGCTGCCTAGGTTGTTTTCCTGCCTGGGAATCCTTAGCCCTCTCCCAACAGCTGAACTGCCCTGCTTACAGCAAATTGTATCGTCTGTTGGTAATTAGTCAGCAGTGGACAGAGGGTTCTGTCACACAGGATGCTCTGAACTACAGTCGCATCTCACTTCTCTTCAGCATCAGTCTGGGGCACACAAACTTGGGGCTAGGCTCTTCCCCGCATGCTTCTCTCATTCTCTTCTCCCAACTTTCAGATTAGTGCCCTCTGCATCAGCACAACAGCTTAATAGAGACCAGGTGCCATTGTGTCCTGGGAACTGAGAAGTCTGACAAAGCCACATCAGCTCATCATAGCACAAGAAACCTTTTGTCCTCAGCATACCCAGCTTTGTGCTGTCTGTGTGTGCGTGCACGCGTGTGTGTGTGTGTGTATGTTTGTTTATTTTTTAATGGAGAACAGAAGATTGATGGATGAAATTAAGAAGAGGGATGTGTAATTGGAAAACAGCTCAAGAAGGCTACAGGCAGCATATTGAAGGCATCCATCAAACATCCAGCTAATGTTGTTAAGGGTGCATAACACAAGCGAGGGCTGCAGGAGACACTAGGAAAAAAAAGAAGAGGGAGGAGAAAGGGGAATAGGCAGGAAAGGGAAAACAGCAAGGGAGGAGAAGAGACAGCAAGAGAGTATAATCAGTAATATTTGTATTGCAATTGCATCCAAAGGCCCCTGTTGGGATCAGTACAGGAGCACATTAAGAGACAGCCCCTGCCCTCTACAGTTTAAACCCAGGAATTACGGGACGATTGCTGGAGACTGGTCTAGATGATCACAAAATTTTCTCGTGATCTACAAACCTCATTCAGTCGGATCGACTCTGAATAGGTTTAAAGGCAGAGGGAAGATGGCTGGCTGTGCCAAGAATGCATGCAGTAATGTCTGCCAGCCAGGCATGCAATTAATCTGAGCCACTTAGGGGGTCTTTGTTTTTAATTATAAGATGTAGGTAAAAATATGTGTAGTAAACCTCTGAAAACCCCAGTGGGGCCATCAGCAGCCTACCCAGAGGCACTGACACGTGGCTAGGTTTTGATGCAGTATTTTCAAGAGGATGGGCTGATGCTTTAATGGACTACTTTGTGGGAAATATTCCATGTGCAGTGGCCATTAAGAAAATGCAGTTGTGTGGGGAAGGAGGCAAGATGAAGGTTAGTGTTATTAGGAGGTCAGCAGATACCTCTAGTCTTGGAAACAGGGAGAAACAGACACCTAAAGACTAAGGAAAGGAGAGTGAAAGAGGCATAAAGGGGGCAGCAATAGTAGAGAGAAAGTAAGGCTTTAAAGAGGAAATAAAGTATCTCAAGACAGATTTTCTGAAAACAGTATTAAAATCAGGCTCCTTGTGAGGTTCACAAGTGACCTGGTGCTTTTTGCAGGGTTGAAGTTCTTCAGGATTGCTTGCTATCGAGAAGCAATAGAAAGAAAGTGAATGTAGAATTAAATGAGCAAAGAGCACCAGGGGAGCTGCACACACAGACAGCATCTCTGCTTGTTTGCGGTGTTCAGGAAGCATGAACAGGGCTGACTGTGAAGAGGAGAAGAAAGAACTAGAAAGAGATTTTGTTAAAGCTCTTCCAACTATGATCCTCTCTCCACTGTACTCTCTTGGTAACACAGCTGCCACCGCCGCTGCCTCCTCGCCTTCCCTCCAGGATCAACCTGCGTTTGCAGCAGCAGCAGGCCCGCTGCATAGAAACTGTGCCTGTATAATTAAGGCTTTTTATTAACAGGAAAAACACTGGCTGCCTCAGGAAACACTAACGTAGGGCCATTTGTAATGCCAAGCATCCCCAGAGAAGGCAAGGAGCTGTGAGAACCCCAAGCCAGGGCCTGGGTGAACCTGGGTGTCTGCTGCCGTTACAAGGAAGTGTAGACCCTCCTTTCATTTGCAGGCTTGGATTTCTTTGGTGGCTCTGCCTGTTTTCATAGCTCCGAGCGGCAGGAAGCCTTGCTCTGTCCTGCTGCTCTGATAAGGGAAGGGGATTTCCTGGGGGTGAAGCAGCCTCCGTGTGAGTACACCGTCCTGTCCTATGTCCAGCCTAAACCTGTAGGTTACTAGACACCTACCCCTTCTGCACTAGAGCTTGAAGGAGCCTCTGGTGCCTGCCCTGGACCCAGCCATCAGAAAGCAAAACGTGTTTGCTATAGAAGACTGCTGTTGGCATCACCAAAACACTTCTGTACGGCCCTCAGCCAAGCAGGTCCTTTGGCCTACTACTTGATTGGTTTTTCATAGCTTGAAGGTAGAAGAAAAACACCAAGTTGTTCCCTGAGTGAGCAGTTAAGAAGCATTAAGCATTATCACTGTGAACAGCTAATTTGGGGAACAGTAGAGGTAGGCTGCCGAGAGGGATTGCTCCAGCATCGTGCAGTTGGTATCTGATAAGGAATGAGTTCACGGTGCAGCAATTCTCTTACTAGAGCATGTGAGTGTGGTTTTTGCATCTGCTTGCCTACCAGAAGTCTTGCTGGGACGTGCCAGACCTCTGTCAAATTTGGCTGAAATGGGTCTGATAGTTACTGGTGGTAGGGCACTGATGAGCCCTGCAATCACATAACACTTGTTTTGTTAGGAAACCAAGGTAAAATGTCATTGAAAACATTGAAAACTGGTCCCAAGAAGAACCCAGATGATGAATTTAGAATTATGCCCTCTGATATCTTCCAGGAGTACCAGGTAGCTGCTGTCACTGCAGATCAGGTTCTCTAAGGCTGAAGCAGGGTGATCCTTCCCCTTTGGACAGATGAGGTGCTGCTGGGCCCCGATCCTGCATACGGAGTTTCCTTTGCATTCAGTGTGCCCGTGTCCCTTTGAGGACTTTGGTGTTAGATGATCAGCCTGCAGCACACCTAGGAAATACAAGGCAGAGCAGGATTTTAGAACCAAACAATTTGAACATCCTTTTGTTCCTTTGTGTCAACGTGATGCCATAGTCCTCTTCCCTCAAATTGTCTTCAGCCTAGGAGAGCAAGTGAGCCTGGAGCGGCTGTATCATACAGTAGCTCTCCAGTTCCCTAGGAGTGTCACTGCAGTTTCCCAATGGAAACCTCACTGTAGGAGAGGTAATGGAAGTTTTACGCTCCCTTTAGGTTCCAGGGGAGCATCTCTGTAGCAGGAAGGAAGTCCACTGGGAGAAATATTTGACATTAGAAAGGAATCCAAGAGGAAACAGACCACAGATGTTACCAGGAGGGGAGGGGAGGGGAATAAAATCTAGCAAATGCATGTCTCAATCAAGCATCAGGCAACCTGCTTGGAGTGACAGCAAAGAGTCTTCAGACGGCAACAAGCAACTTTGCTCTGTACCACTCAGTGTCTCCTTGGGTTGCTCTTCTGCAGCAGCAAAACTGGATCCCTCTTTCTGAAGCGCTGCTTTTGTTGCTGGGCGTGTGATAACAGGATTGAGAGCTTTAGTACCCAGAGAGAAACCAAAGAGAAGCTGGAAATTGAAGGAAAAGGTTCTTGACAGTGTGTCAGAGCCATACATACACTACACTACTGGACCTCCAAAAGTCACATCTGAGATCTGATGCTCATATGACTTACTGCGCACAGGCTATGAAGGAACTTTCAAATAGGAGAGCCAGGACTGGGATCTCATCACACCATGACCTTGAGTTATGTCCCCAGACAAGTGGTCTATAACAGACAACTAAGGACTTCAGTCTGTATTTTCCAAGCTGATCATTAATGTTGGATACTTTGTTGAAGGCATGCCTACCTTGAGAAGCCAAGGATCTGATTTCCAGATGAGCTGGCTGTTCATTAATCGTATTGACTAGTGGGAGCCAAAGGTGCTCAACAACTGGGAAAAAACAAGCACAGGATTGCTGTAGCTTTGGAGTGCCTGTAAATAAGGCACCCCTTGTTGTTGATTATTCCTGATACTTTCGTCCTTGATTTTTATTTTCCTTTAGTTCCTCTCACCTTATGGGGAGAAAACATTTGAAATCAAATGTTAACTGTTGTGAATCCTCAGCTCTCCTGGTCATGTACGTTACAGAAATACTATGAAGGAAATTAAAGTATTCAAAAGTCTATGATATAAAATAAATGCTGCAGTGGCCAAATACTGCAAGCTAGCAGTAGAAAGAGATCTGGAATAATTAAGCTTTCAGCAAGCACCACCAGCACTGTGGAATGACTGAGGCAGGGGCTTTGTGGAAAACTTAGTAGGTAACGGTGTGGTTATTGACTTTATCAATGCATCTGCATAAGGAGGATGAATTTAAAACTGCAAGAGTGAAAGAGATGCTAGGCATCTTTAGGGTCCCTGACATTTTCTCTTTGTTTTGCCCACTGGCATATTCAAGAATGCAAATCTTGCACACAATTTTAAATAATTCTGCCAGTTAAGCACATTAAATGCTTACCACTAGGCTCAGGAATGAACACCCATCTGGAACGGGGGCAAGTAACAGTCATCTTAGGCCTCAGACTCAGCAAGGTGAACAACCTTAAGTCAAGGACAGCTAGTTCATCTCTGGGCAGCAGGTGGTTCTTTATAGCAACATAAATAGATAAAAGCTTATATTCAATAGCACAGGAATTATCAGGCCTGCAACCTAATGGGACTCCTGATTATACTTCAACAAATGCTTTGCTGTATAATAATGTCCATCATTTATTATGTCTCCCTCCAAGCAAGCTGAATTCAGTCTGTTAGTCTGGTCTCTAATCTTACTGTCCTAGTGTTTATGGTGACTGGTATTTCAGAGGCTTTCTCTTTTCCCTGCTCTGAAAGGTAGAGAGATGCCTGGGCATTGGAAGCTCTCTGCAGCATGCTGAGGAGACGTAACCTTCTTACCACGCTCCTGATCGCCTTGCCATGGGCTCTTCTCCTAACTTTGTGGCATCAGTACCCAACCACCCGCTACCTCAGCCTCCTGAGAAGTAAGTGCAAAATCTCTGCTGTCAATATGCCTGTCGCTGTGACAATTGCTGGTGAGAGCCCTCAGTAAGAGACTCCCTCACAGGATGAGTTAAACCAAAACAAATTTGCTTGAAGCAGGCACCCAAGCTGTTCTGAAGAGCATGTCCTTCGGCTGTCTTCAGAAAGAGGCTGCTGTGCTGAGTATTGCTGTTATGGTGCTTGTGAGAGGGAGCACTCTGAGAAGAGGGTTGTCAGGGAACCTCTGCCTCAGGCAGACACCAGACCGGCAGATCTGCAGCATCCCTCGAGAGGAGGCAGCCCTGCAGTGATTAGTTTTCTAACATCTTTCTTCCTCTTCCCTCCTTCTTTCCTTCCTTCCTTTTGCCCCAGAAGAGACAGATGAGAATGTGACCTCTAAAGCTCTTGTCAATGGTACATCTGCACTGAGAGAGGAAGGCCTCCCATCATGCATGCGGCAGCAGCAGAGCATGGCGGCAACGCCTAAAGTCATCCAGAATTATGTGTACTCCAGGCCTCCCCCATGGTCAGACACCTTGCCAACCATCTTCGTTATCACCCCTACCTACACCCGGCCAGTGCAAAAAGCTGAGCTGACCCGATTGGCCAACACCTTCCTGCACGTACAGAATCTGCACTGGGTGGTGGTGGAGGACTCGCCCCGGAGGACCAACTTGGTATCCAACCTGCTGGAGAAGGCAGGGCTTAACTTCACCCACCTCAATGTGGAGACCCCCAAGAGTCTGAAGCTGGGCCTGTCCTGGATCCCATCCCATACCCCAAGGGGGACACTACAGAGGAACCTGGGGCTGCACTGGCTGAGGAACAGCTTCAGCAACACTGCACCACCAGAAGGGGTAGTGTATTTTGCCGATGATGATAACACCTACAGCCTGGAGCTCTTTGAAGAGGTAGGAACCATAAAATTACATGGGACAGAAAACACAATATAGCTGCAAACATATACAGCCAGACCTCTTAAGGCAAGGTCCTCAGAGAGATCTCTGAGGCAGGACTACCAAATGAACTTTTAGCACCAGCTGGGAGACGAAGGTTCTGGCGTGCTGCCTGCAGCCCTTCCCTCTCTGCACTCTGCGGGAACTGGGAATAGGGCAGATATAAACCAATGGTTATGCAAATCCAGTAGCCATTCTTGAAAGGGCTAAAAGATCAAACAGTGCATCAGCCATGGTGTAGGCTGCAGGTGTGCATAGGCGGTCACCCAACATTGCACCAACTAAATCTCCTTTTGCCAGGTCTGTTTTCATAGGGGTCATAGAATAGATGCCCCAGAGGAGCAGAGGTTCAGGGAGAACTGACTTGGTTTAAATAAGCACAAAGACAAACTTCTGCCAAAACATAAATCTTCCCTGTTGTAGCAGTGTTAGAAAAGTTGACTGACTTTCTAATCCACTTTTTCCCCTTTCTTGCCCTTCTGTATTCTGAGTTCCAACCACCACAACAAAGCCATGTCCCTGGGATCAGAAAAGCTTGCCCAGACTTCTGCTGGAGACTTGGCTTTTGTGAGATGTCAAGTCTATGGCAGACTTGCAAAGATGATTATTCAGTAACACTCACTTGTCACCAATTTAAGCCAAACTGTAATACACCACTCAAAATCCTGTGTTATGCATCAGTGTTATTTCCAGTTTTCACAGTTTTTTAGATCTCTGCTAAGCTCATCCTTTCCTATTTCCTTCCAAGTCCTTTCAGGCAATTTCAATAAACACTCACCCTCTTAGGAAGTAGCCATGGATGATAGAACAAGGTGGGGTGTGGGGGGGGAAGTTGCTGTAAGTAAGGACTGAGATGCATCAGTGAGGGAGGTAGATTACTTGAATAATGGTAAAGATGGTGCGAGTGGAGCTGATAACAGGGAGCTAGAGGCCCGGTAGGAGCTGTGTTTGGAATGTTTCTATTAAGAAAATTATAAAAGTTCAGATGAGATTAGAAACCAAGCTTTTCCCTTTTCTGGAGGACTGAATTTAGGTAATAAAATGCAGTGAATTTTGCTGTTCAGAGCAGAAGACTATGTTAAGACAGAGCTCATGGCATTGCAGACTGTAGCTTTTCAAGCAGTAGCATAGGTGAACAAGAGTGTGTGCTGCTTAGAGCTGCATGATTGTGTAGGAAGTCAATGGGGGAGGATAGGTGCCAAATGATACAGAGGATGGTATACTAACAGGCTGGGACAAATGTCACAGGGCTGAATTCTCACACCACTGTTTCCTTTTGGCCCACAGATGCGTTACACAAGGAGGGTGTCAGTCTGGCCGGTGGCTTTCGTTGGGGGTCTGCGATATGAATCCCCAAAAGTGAGCCCAGCAGGGAAGGTCGTGGGCTGGAAAACGGTCTTTGATCCCAACCGACCCTTCGCTATTGACATGGCTGGATTTGCCATCAGCATCAAGCTAATATTGGAGAAGCCTCAAGCCAGTTTCAAGTTGGAGGGAGTTAAAGGAGGCTACCAGGAAACCAGTTTGCTGAAGGATCTGGTGACTATGGATGGGTTGGAGCCAAAAGCAGCCAACTGCACAAAGGTGAGCAGGACAAGGGACCTTGAAGATACCTTCCTTTTGCCGGGTTCTGGCCTCTCCTGCAGCCTCCTGCTATGCCCCATTCACCTTCCACTGTGCCTGCTCTTGCACACCTCAGCTCAGAATCATGCTGAGGGAGCTAGAGCCTGTCCAATGCTTTGCCGATGAGAAGCACAATGAGTGCTGAGGAACATGGAGTGCTATGCATTGTAATTGTGTTACTAAAGAGCCTCAGCTGCATAATTTACACCTTGATTTCTTCTCCAAGTCCAGGAGGATTGGCAGAGGGTTGAGTGTGGGGTTTTGGTCCAGAATGATCTCTCCTCCTTGCCACTCTTTCATGCACTTATAAAGTCTCCCCCAGGTTCTGAATCAAGTCCTTTGAATTGCACGCTTCAAACAGTTCTGAGCCCCAGGTTGCTCAGGATCCTACCTGCTGCTCTCAGTGTTTCCATGGCATCCAGAGCCCCTCAACTCTCTTTGTGATTCCCTGTAGGTGCTGGTCTGGCACACAAGAACTGAGAGGCCTACTTTGGTTAATGAAGGCAAACGTGGATTTACAGACCCCAGAGTAGAGGTGTAAGCAGAGAGCCAGCTCCAGGGTGTGAGTATCCTTGTACTTATCGCTTTTAGCAAGGCAAATAATCTGTACTACTTTCCTTATTTGTGTTATTATTTCCTCTAGGACTGCATACATAAGACAGTCCCAGTAATTCCCTTATCTCATTCTTTGCACAAGAAACAGATTCTCACCTTTACTCCCTTACTGTCTGCATTTCTTACTCATTCATGCCTTCCTGCAGTTCACGTGGAAGTTTTGCCTGCATAAAGACAAGAAAAATCTCATAGTTTCACTCAATAATGACAAGTCAAAGTTTTTGCTCCCCTATAAGAGATTCCTGCCAGGTCCAAAGTCTTTTTGGTGTAGGAGTTGCTCTACAGTGTGTGGAAAGACATCACACGCCTGCAGATGATGAGCTTCCTCCCTTGCAGCCCTGCAGCCCTGCCACCTCTGCTGTGCTTCATTTGTCTACCTTCAGCTTTTCTCCTGCAAGAGGTACTTCATGACAAACCATGGTATGGGGCAGCACGTAAAGGCTGATGGGACACTTACACCATCTCAAAACAGGAACCAGCAAAAAGTAACCTATACAAACTCTCACGCAGTCTGAGGGGCTCCAGTACTGACATTACCAGTGGTAGGAGTACACCTGCTATTGAGGAGAAATAGTGAAAGCACTAGGAGTGCCTGTGTGATGCACAGAGAAAAGTCCAGCAGGAGGAAGGGTTGGTAGCCACCACCACAGGCAAGGGCAGGAATGTATCGGAGCTCAGTGATATGTTCATAGAAATTAAGACTGATGAAGAATAAGCTCCAGAGGAGTTGTAGAGACATTGACCTCTAAATATTTACCAGCTATAGGGTAGACTGTAGCTGGGCTCTCTGCATTGTTGTGTGCTTGGCAACGCCGCTCTGGGTGACTCTTATCCCAGCTATCCAAACCCAGCATGACCTAGTGGCTATGATCTCCTCTTTATATCAACTGTCCAGCCCTCTGATATCAGTGTTTGTCCTTGGCAGAATCCTAGCCCACAAATCCCAGAATAAAGGTGTCTGATTTGGGAGGATCTAGGTCTTCCTGGAATGACACATTCCTGTGGCAGGGTACAGGATGCTGAATGATTTACCCCTCTATTTTGGAAGATATTCCAGGGCTGCTTTCATTCCTGTCCCCAACATACCCTTCAGCCCAGAACTACCAGTGGAACAAGAATGACAGCTTTTTCACACACAGTCACGAGTGTTTCAACTTCTGCACTGACCTAGCATGTGTATTGCTTGTAGCTGTGTACGGCATTTCCATATCATCTTATCACCTCTGAGTGATAGCCATACAAAGAATGAAAGGTAACCCCAGCTCTGGCACATGGCAGGGGTGGGAGTAGGGAACCTGGTGTATCCTACCTGGCCCTCCTGTCAGGCGCAAACCCTGTATCATATCTGCCAGCCTTCCATGAATATCTCAGATATCCTAGGGAACCTGAAATGATGCTAGGCACCTATGCTTGGCAGCAGCACCTCTCTTGGCCTGTGCTTGTGTGACTTTCACTAGCAGAAACGTGCTCATTTTATAAACTCATTCATGCTGAGGCTGCAGTAAAGCAAAGCTATGACTTTCCAAGCTCAGCTCAGCTCCGGATCCAGTTAACTAACATGGAGGTGTTCATACAGGATGAGCAGACTAAAAAAAAAAAAGACACATTAGGCCTGCTTGCCTACTTATCAGAGGAGGAGTTAAGTACTCCGTTACAGACGCAGAGTGTGTGTGTGATGATTTTATAAATGTAGTACTTACGTGTCTGCTCTTTTGTCCTCATCCTCACTCCCCCCTGGCCAAACATTTACTATCTTCCATGAGACATGCCATTCACCTACAGTGAATTCTCATGGGAATGACTTCCTGCAGGTCAGAATTTGACCCACAGCCCCTTCTGTATCATCTTCCATGTGGGGCACCTGTCCTGCCTGCCAACTGGGCCGGTAGCACCCCCTCCAGGAGACTTCTCCAGAGCAAGGCCTTCGGTGTGAATGCGCTGCCCTGAACAGCCTGGTGGATTCGACTGAGAGATTCTGCTGAGCTTCAGAATCTTGCAGACATGATCTAGATAAGCTAGAGGAAAAACAGGTGAAATTCCTCCCCTAGGGATGTTCTGTTCTATAGCCACAATTGTGAGAACATTTCTGTTTTTCCCTTCTGAGAACTTGTCCTCATTTTGGGTCAGATCAGGCCAGGCAAGTCCCAGATCTCCCAGAGGCTTTTTTTCCTTTACCCCAGGTAGACATTGCTTGGTGCAGGGTTTGGTGCTCTGTTAACCCCTTAGTTCAACCACTTTCATGGCTTCTGGGCATGTGTGCATACTCTCTGGCTTGCCAAACTGCAAAGATCAGGCTTTAACGGGTACTGCATAAATACAGTTACATCCTTCCAGTTGCAGTCCACTCTTATCCTCCCTTGCATTCTCACCGCTCTTAACTGTGTTTAGCTGAACCACTGCTTTGTTTGTGAATCTGTGAGAGACGAACTATACACTCCAAATCAGAGCAGATCGGAGAAGGGGAAACAATAAGACATATGCCACAGTTTTGATTTTCACGAGAGACAATGAAAAGAGCTCAGAATTTACTGACAGCGTTTTACCTTTCTGCATTGGAAATTCTGCTTTTCTCTGCCCCAAGAACCACTAGGGATGATCTGAAATGTGTTAAGATTAAGGACAGTGAGCAAGATCCTCAGCCACTTCTCCAGTCATTTGATGCAAAATGGAGGAGCAGGAAGGGCATAAAGGAGGTCTCTCAGCCCATCTTCAGCTAAACTCAGACTTTCACTGTGGAGATATTGCAGAAAATAGCCATAAGCCTGTTCTCTGAAAAACACTGTGGGGACGTGCAGGGTTGGAAGGGGAACGCTGGGGGTGTGGGAAATCCTTAGGATTGTCTGTGTTATGATAGGGGCCACAGATCAGCCAAAAGCCATTATAGCTTATATCCCTGCAGACTGCCATAGAAACAAAAATGCTGGTTTCTGAGCGCAGCAGATAGGGACTAGTTTCTCTTAGTATTTTTCCTTTGTTGAAGTCCTGAAATCTATCACTCAAAAATGGTGTTAAAAACTAGCTATTCTTATTGTTAACACCTATAACGGGCATTTGAGAGAGAAGAGCTCACTTAGTTTAGCTTAACTCTTTCTGCTTTGTGATATCTGGAGATAAGGAAAGAAATTGCCTCGTTTTTCAGAGCTTCCAGACAGACTAAACAGGGATCCTCAGAGCTGATTGTCTTGCTTTTTCCTAGAAAAAATATCGGAGGGATTAAATAACGATTTTACTGGGAAAAAAAAAAATCTTTCAAAACCTTTTACTAGTTCATAAAGAAAAAACCCCCCCCCCCGACTCTGTGGTATAGATAGAAAAAACAGCACTTCAGCCATATCCCTAACCTGAGGTGGTAGCATGGTTGAGGAACCTGCTTACCGATACCTTGTGTTTATCTGAGCAAAAGCACAACTCTCTTGAAAATGCATCTCTTGACATGATGTAGTGGATGTGGTATTGAGACCTACTTCCTTTCCTTACCCCATCTTGTGTTTGTTTTGACAGAGGCACAGGGCAGTGTTTGTTCCAGAAGTTCGTCAGCAACCACAACAGCTGTGCACGCTGCCCGTTCTGCCCAGCACTCTGCTCCACCGCTGGAGGATAATGAAAGCTCCCAAATGTGGCCACATCTATCAGCTGGCACTGCCCGAAAGGTGGTAACAAAGAGGGACAGAGCTGATCCTGTGATCCTATAGATCTTTACCTTTGACTTCATCCACTGGCTCTCATTTCTCATTTGGGAGAGGAGTGCTTCCCTTTCCCTGTGGGGCCTGTGTTCATTCATTAAACATAAAACTTATTAGACGTGATCTTCATTCTCTGCTGTGCCAGCATAAAGGCTGAAATCCAGGATGGGTGTAGGATCTCTGAAGATCTCTTGGCAGCTTGTGAAACTATAGCTGTACAGCTGTGGCAAGCTGCAGGGATTCAGGGCTTGGAGTTGCTGCAGAAGCACATCTATCAGTCAGCCTAAGAATGGGATGCTCTCAAAACAGCTTAAAAACAAAGCTAGCCTGAGAGAAGGTCTCCCTCTGAAGGATACACTCAGATACATACATGGCTCAGCCTTCAGTTTTGGGCAGGGAGCTGTACTGAACCACCTCATTCTCAGTTTGGGAGTTCAGAAAAGTACATAGGTATCAAGTAGGGATCTGGTGCCTCAGCTTGCCACCTCAGCTGAGAATGGAACCGCCCTGAATTATAGTTGTTTTGGAAAATGCCATACCAGATCCCCAGACCCACAGCCCTCTGGATAAAGTTCCTCTCCCGCTTGGGGAGACCTGGCAAATACTGTACTTCAAAGGCCATGCCTCCACTTGCCACTGGAGAGCCCAGAAAGCAGGAACAAAGATGGGTGGACTTGGAAGGTTTGTTTCTAGCCTGGAACCCAACTGCAGCACCATCAGGCACTTCAGTAGCCTCGAATCAGATATATAGAGCTGTTTCCTCAATTTCCACAGACAAAGACACCTCTCTGGAGTGGAGGTGGGTGAGAAATGCTCAGAGAAGAGGAACCCTGAGCCTGGGCTCATCTCCTGCGATAACATCAAGGAATGTGGAGAGAAACCGTCAAGGAACTATTCTTGAGCACCATAAGTGACAACTGAAGTAGTAAATGTGACAAAGTTTTCCAGGTGAACTTTGAAAGGCATGTTTGGCCCTGTAAACAGAAAGAAGAGACATTGTCATCCAGAACAATTCCCTTTCCCTTAATAAAACAGGGGGACAGTGAGGTTAAAGGCAGCTCACAAAGGAGGAGCTAGCAAATAAGGACTGGAGGATGCACTGGATTAAAAGCACAATCGTTTGTATCATGTAGGAAGGGGGCAGGTGTCACTCCAACTTCCAGGAGGAGAACTTAAATGACCCAGAAACCCCTCTAAGCACATCTTGAAAACCATCTTCATTCAAGCCATGAGAAACAAGGCTTTAGGCTTTCAAAACACATTGAGGATTTTCATAGCTGGGGGAAAGTTATGAGTAATTGTACCATTCCCCACCCAAGAAAATCTGGGCTGGCAGGAGACTTATTTATTTTTTGATTTATTTATACTACAATTCTTTTCTGCCTATTCCTTGTTTTGTCTTACTTTTTAGCTTAGATCATCTGACCTATTCATGAAGAAAAAATATTCCCCCTCCCACCCCAAACTCTCACAGAAGAACAGTAGAGCTTTGCATTCACTGCTGAATGTCATGTTTCATGCTCCCTGGGGTTTCTTTACAATGGCATCTTAAACTGGCAAAATAATCAGAAACACAGCAAGCAGGGGAGTTTAGCAAGGGGAACTGCCGTTCCTTTGTGCAAGAGATGTGGGTGGCACTAAGTTTCTGGCCCCCGAGCAGTCATACCGAGGTGAAAACATGTGCAAAGGACTGTCTCGCTCAGCAGACAGTCCCCATGGGATTTTGGGAAGCTTCCAAGAAGAGGGCTCTTCGAAGGATATCTGAGAGAGTATATGTGCAACTAGTAGCAGCACACCCTGCTATAGGAGGGAGGTTAGAGTACAAGAAGGGGGAAAGGGGGAAAGGCACAACCTCTCGGAGGAGAATTCATGAGAAATTAAAGAACAGGCAGCAAATAGAGAAATGGAGGCTGCCCTTATTTTAAGTTTAGTGAGGCTCAGGCCAGAGATAAGCATACCCAGGAGAAAAAGCTACCTTGTCACCCATCTCAGCATGAAGGAATACTAAATGTACCATGAAAACTGTATCTTCTCTGGATCCTAGAAAATAGTCCTGACTGTTTTTTACAGGCGTCTGGCATTTTGGAACTGGATAGCATGAAGGAAGCCTGGCTTCTGTAAAACACTTTTTCTTCTCTCTTTGTCAGAGCTTTATCTCCTGGGCTCTCCATGAGGTAACAGGCTTGGCCCACCCACCCCTGCCACTAGACTGGCAGGCTCATTGATCCCATCTAGCATTAAAACAAGAAAGTGACCTTCTTTGTGATTTTAATGAATGAGCAAGAGAGAGGGAATCTTTATCCCTCTTAAGGGATAAAGAGAGGGAATCTATATCCCTCTTAAGCAAAGGAGTTGCTTAAGATCTTCCATTTTCCCCTCTGAGATGGGCAAGGTTGCTGCCCGTATGAAAAGGAGTGGATACGGTGACTAATTCCCTGGCCTTTGGTTCAGCTTTTGAGATTTTCATACAAGTCCTATGTAGAATTTTGGCACTGCTAGTGAAAGTTTGCAGCAAGGGTCTATTCCCATTGCAAAGGATACTCCCCAACCCATGTTTTTAGGGATTTCTTCTCTCTGCATTCCTACAAGAAAGCAAAGTTACTATTCCTATTTTTCCCACCGGGAAATTGGATTCCAGTGCGCTGTGCTACGCTGTCAGCTTAGCGCAGGTCTGAGCCTGCTCTCAGGGCCAGACCCTTCACACCGTTTCCATTCTTGTCCCAGCCTGAACCTGGAGCCCTGCAGGGGAGGAGATTCTGTGAATCAAGAAATTTCGTCACACCGCAGATTGTGCAGGCCCAAAGCCTTGTATGGGCAGCGTGGATGTACACAACTACCATTCCAGGCTAGCAGACATTTGGACCTGTTCAGCACAAATGCTCCTCCTCTGCAGAGCAGATGGTGGACAGCAAGGACTGTTGCCAGTTGAGATACACGAGCTAAGGGCAAATGAGTAAGCAGTGCCACAATTTAAGATGGCTATTTATTAGCAGAGCTGGTGGGAGAGCCCAAGAGCAGAGCAGCAGTGAGGGCCACAGGTTTCAGGGTAAGCAAATATAGGGGTGCAGTAGGGAGGGAAGCTGCAGATCAATCCTAAGATAGTTAAAACAGGAGAAGGAATTGCAGCTCCTGTTTTTTACTAGCATATTAGTGTCTGATACTCATGTTCTCTGAGATTCATCTAGTTCACCAGCCAATGAATACTAACATTTCCTGTTGCAGAAAATACTATTGACAAAAGAAAGAGAATGTCAAGGAAGTAATTTTTAATGGTTATTTATTTATATTGAACGGTACTAGAGCGTTATTAAATATGATGTAAATAGTACAACATGGCACCATTGTTTGTCTTGCAGTTGAAGTGCTTACTTCTTTTCCAGGAAAACAGTGGGCTCTGTAATGGAGAATGTCATCAGTTTCAATTGTTCTCATTTCAAGGGAATTCTCTCCAGTCTTCATCTGACTTAAACGCTACATGAGAAATGCAAGCAAAAACACATCAGTTCTCTGGGACTGGAAGAGGCTGCCTGCATTATGGAGGTGAAGAGACAGAAAGGAACACGGGTATTCTGTCTAAACTCCATAATTCCACGGCAACCTGTCATTCGGGTGATGTGGTGGCAATCCCTACCAAAACTGCTTCGTAAAAATGCCGATCAATCTCAGAAGTGCATGGTGGTCAAACATAGGGCAGTCAGTTCTCCATCGCAAGGGTCTTAATGCAGTGGCAAGCTGTATGGCACAGCTATGCCGAAACAAGGCTGCTGCTGCTGACAGTGAGCAAAGACTACGTGATTTCTGCTACGTAATGTTATTTAAGTTAGTTCTGCAGGCAGCAGTCTCCCACTCCAGCTTTGTTCGGCCACCCAGCTCCTGCACACTGTCCTTCCACCTGGGAAGAGCCAGGACAAGCTCCTGGCAGCATGATGGGAAGACATAACGGATCCCCCACAGGAATGTGGGAACACATCGCATGTCTAGGGTCTCAGCAAAAGTTGATCCATGGTCATGTATCCATTTGGCCAGTCTGCTATGTGAAAAGTCTCCCCGAGTGGTCCTGGAGGCCGTGAAACCCCTCAAGGGACATTTTTCAACTGCCTCCCTCCTGCTGGGTCAGTTGCTTAGGATAGGTAGCAGTGAGAGGCAGCCAGGGCGATAGCTTGTGGCCCTGTGCAATTGCATCTCCTGGGGAGGGGGAGACATCCAGGAGCAGCACCAACAGGGTAAGGAAGAGTAGGCTAAGGCATTATAAGGTCTTGTCTTCCTAATGAATCAGACACTATTACCAGTTCCTCCTCCTGCCAGTCCCTAGTAAGCCACTGGGAAAAGTGCATAAACCCTCACCACAGCAGTAGGTTTCAATGGGATCACGTAGAGAAGCAGCTCAGGTCTCTTGATTCTTACTTCTCCCTCCGGTTAGGAGGAAAACGGATGGGCCCATTTGATGGGAGCCCAGTGTGGGCTAATCCACAAGGCTGGGAGAAGCTAGTAGACTCAGGTCATGTTTCTAATGCTGTTTCTGATTTACTTTGTCACTTGGCCAAGGTACATCCCATCAGCTATCTGTAACTTTGGTTTTTGTTTTTTGTTTTTTTTTAGTTTATTAGAGGACTGGCCAAATCCAGGCCTGCTTAGGTCATAACAATCACATTTGCAAAGGTGTCGCTTAAGGTGCAACACGGGGTGCCCAAGCAAAGGCTCTGAGAAAGGCTGAGACAAAAATGCAGTGGCTCAAGTCATGTGAAATTTCCACTCCACTATAAAACATTGTTGCCCCCTAAAAAACAGGAACAGCTCTGCTTGGCTATGGTGGCTGAAAGCCCCTACAGTGCCTTTAGCAAGGCTTAGTGCTACCTTCATCTCTCCTTGATAGAAACCCTGGGGGTGGGGAGGGCAGTAGATGAGCAACATTGTCTGATACAGCCCAACTACCCTGCTGGGCATCGCTCTGTCACGCCAGTGCTTTGTTCCTTCCCTCCATTTGCCGTGCACCTTTAAGGCTGGGCTTCCCAATCACTCTGCTGCATTTTCAACAGGGAGCTACTGCAGGTCCCGGAGAGCAGCGGGGGAGGAATAGGAGAAAAAGAAAAGGCAAATAAGAACGAATCGTATTAAATGGTGTGAGGTACTTCTCTCAGTCTCTCGTCACGTTCAAGAGTGATTGGCGGTGAAATTACACTTGGAGGGAGGGGAAGCGCCCTCCCCTGGGACATCCAGAGGCTCTTGCACAAGCTTAATTTCAAGCTCTGTTGAAGATGGTATTTGTCTTTTTTTTTTTTTTTGTATGCATTTGTTTAATTTCTCAGGAGAACATGTGAAAATGAGAAAGGCAGACCTTTGACTGTGAAGATAGCCCTGTGCCTGCTTCTTATGGATCCAGTCTTGCATTGTTTTCTTCCATCACTGCCCTCAATACATCTGTGCTCAGGGGTTGCAAAAATGCCTTCCATCTCCCTTCCACGCTTCAGTAGAGATAGTTAATTTTTTTTTTTTATTTAAGCAATCCAATTCATTTTGAATTAAAAAAAAAAAACATAGCTTTCCACAGCTTGGTTTAAAACAGGGATACTGTGACCTTGAAAAGGCTCTGTGGCTTGGGTCTGTCTGGCACCATGAAGTTCCGATCCGTATTC